TTAAGCGATTTCAGGCGATCAGAGTCTAACAGATCGGCTGAGAAGAAAACGGCCGAGCAGATGAGTTGGCCGGTCTCGCTTCTATGGTTGACAACTCATCTCCCAACCCTCTTTTGATTGAATTCCTTCCGAGGCCCAGCATTGAGAAAATCGGACAAACAGAAGTACTCTGTGCCGAGCTAGGTCCTTTTTGGATGGACCCTATCACCCTTTTTCTCAAGGACCGGACCCTTCCAGCCGCCAAGAAGGAAGCACATAAAGTGCGGATGAAGTCAGAGCGATTTTGGCTCTCTCCATCGGGCGCTTTATACAAGAAGTCGTTCACCGATCCCTACCTGAAGTGTGTGCACCCGAGCAGCGTGGAAGCCTTCTTGTACGATATTCACGAAGGCATTTGTGGCAGTCACATAGGAGGCAGGTCCTTGGCCTACCGAGCTATTTCCCAAGGCTACTGGTGGCCGTGCATGCAAGCCGACGCATAGAAGTATGTTCGCAAGTGTGAGAAGTGCCAGAAGTTTGCCCACCAGATCCATCAGCCGGTCAGGGAACTTCTTCCCCTTACCAGCCCTTGGCCCTTTGCGATGTGGGGGCTAGATATAGTGGGGCCACTCCCAACCGCACCAGGCAACCGGAAGTTCTTCATCGCGGCCACAGACTACTTCACCAAATGGGTTGAAGCAGAACCTTTGGCAACAATCAAGAAGAAAGACGTCAAGTGGTTTGTCTGGCAGAATGTGGTAACGTGGTTTGGCATCCCCAAAATTCTGATCTCTAACAACGGCACCCAATTTGGCGGACACCTTTTTAGAGGATTTTGTGAAGATTTGAAGATAGAATTCTACAGCTCCACCCTGGCTTACCCGCAGTCTAATGGTCAAGCCGAGGCGTCAAACAAGACCATCCTTGATGGGTTGAAGAAAAGGCTAGAGAAGACAAAGGAAAAGTGGGCTGAGGAACTCCCCAGCGTCCTTTGGGCATACCGAATAACCCCGCGGTGATCTACCGGGGAAACGCCTTTTGCTTTGGCATATGGCATGGAGGCGGTCATACCTTTGGAAGTTTGAATGCCCACCCTCAGAAGTGAAAGTTTTGAGCCTGAGCTAAACGCCGAAGCCATCGCCCTGGAATTGGACCTCGTGAACGAACGCCGAGAAAAGGCTCTCTTCCATGTGGCCGCCTACCAACATGAGCTCTCAAGGAAATACAACAAAATGGTGCACCCCAGACCGTTCAAAGTAGGTGATTGGGTCTTGAGGAAAGTCATGGACAATACCCTGGTGCCAGGTGAAGGCAAACTAGGGGCAAATTGAGAAGGACCCTACAAGATAACCGGTCTGGCGGGCAAGGGGGCATACCACTTGGAGGACTTGGATGGTAGAGGAATATCCCGGCCGTGGAATACAGCCAACCTCAAACTGTATTATTTCTAACATTTGCTTTCTTTTTGTGCAAAGGAACTTTTTGCCTTACACTTCAGAATGTAATATTCTTTTTGTCAATATATAGGCCCTGTTTGGTAGAGCTGTGGGAAAATACTTATAGCTTATGCTTAAACAGCTTATAGCTTATAACTATGAACATAAGCTGATTTCTGACTTATAAATTAAGCATCTCCTGCCCCACTCAAAGAATAAGCTGATTTCTGACTTCCAAAAAGCTATAAGCTATAAGCTATAAACTAAACCAAACACATCAAAATAGCTTAAATTAAGCTGAAAGCTGAAATAAGCAGCTTTTAAGTTGCACCAAACAGGGCCATAAAAGTGTCACATCTTTGCCTTGGCATTTTTATTGTTGCTTTGTGTTTAGTCATTCTCAACCGAGATGTTTACTCCGATTGAAAGAGTTGATGGTTTGTTCAACTATGCGATTCTCGACCGAGATGTTTACTCCGGTTGAAAGAGTTGATGATTTGTTCAACTGTGATTCTCAACCGAGATGTTTACTCCGGTTGAAAGAGTTGATGATTTGTTCAACTGTGATTTCCAACTGAGATGTTTACTCCGGTTGAAAGAGTGGATGATTTGTTCAACTGTGATTCTCAACCGAGATATTTATTCCAGATGAAAAAGTTGATGTTTTGCTCAACTTAGTTATTCTCAACCGAGATGTTTATTCCGGTTGAAAGAGTTGATGGTTTGCTCAACTTAGGTATTCTCAACTGAGGTGCTTATTCCAGTTGAAAGAGTTGCTGATTTGTTCAACTATGATTCAAACCGAGATGTCTTTTCCGGTTACATCAGTCAACTATGATTCAAACCGAGATGTCTTTTCCGGTTACATCAGTTAATTAATGAGGTTTGTCTCGCCGAGGTATTTTGTTCGGTTGAAGGTATGAGGCTTGAAGACCGCACAAACACTTGATGAAATTATAGCTTTTTCATTGATGTGAAAGTAAATACAAAAGGTAGGGAACTTAGCCCGGTTACATGTTCAAAAAAAAAAGCAAGGAAAAAGAAAACTAGGCTAAGGGGGAAAGGTTGGTGAATTCATCCTCGGTTGCCTCCAAGTTGACCGTTGGAGATTGGTCTTGGACACCGGTTTCTGTTTGGCCGGGCTACTTCTGCTCTTGGCGGTCCTTCCCTTCAACATCTACCTCGGCTTCTCCCTCAAGTCCTTCCTCAGCCTCAGCCTGCAACGCGCTGAAGACGTCATTGGCATATGGCACGAGATAGGTCAGTAGGAAGACAACTGGCGGAGAGACAAACACGTCGGTATCAGGACCTTAAAAGAGCTGTTCGCAAGCAGACTTCCAACCCGCCTTGAAATAGATGTCTTAGGTGGCGAAGACTTGCTTCTTATAGCTGTCCTCGGCCTCCTTAAAGCTGACGTTGTTGGCGTCTTCGCACTCCTTCTCCTTTGACTTTTTGAGTGCGTCCAGCTCGGCTTAGAGCTTATCCTTCTTTTTCTCGGCGTCGCTAAGCTGGCCGAGCAACTTGGTGTTGTCAGCGTTGGCAATCTGCAGTGAAGACTTTGCTCGGCCAAGCTCTGTTTGAAGACTTTGGACTTGGCTGGCAGTGTCGTTTGCCTTCTGCCGCAGTCGATGAATTCTCTCCATGACCAAGTGTTGCTTCTGGATGGCCTGCAAGAAAAAGATTGATCAGAGAGGAAACCGTACAAACACTTGTGAAAATTTGAATAGAAGTTTGACTCTTAGCCTGGTCATGGACTTCACGGCCGACTTCACCAACCGGGTGTCTGAAACATGGTCGCTGCCGACCACATCGCTCGGTAGGAGAAGGGCCTTGGAGAGGTCGAAGGCGAGAAGATGTTCTTTGTCGCCTTTCACGGAAGTTGTTGCCAGGATCTCCTTACCCCGGTGTTTGAGTTGCGATTACCATGCCAGTGCAGGGTCTACGGTGACGCCGGGTTGCTCGGTAGTCAGCTCTTCAACCAGCTCGGCAGAGGGATCTGCGCAAGGCCTTTTCTCAGCCCGGCGGGCTTCTTGGCGGGCTTGACCGGCGGCTGGAGACGCCAACGCCACCACGGCGCCGCTTGATTGACCGGCAGCTGGAGAGCGGGTGATGACGCTCAGTATCTCGGCAGACGTTGCAGTGAACAGGTTTTTGATACGGCTTCGTTTTGCCATCTCTTCTTCCTCGGTTAACAGGATTAGGGGCACGTCCGGTAGTGTTGGGTCTGGAGGAGGTGATGGAGCACGGAGAAAGTCTGTGACCGTACTCCGGCGTGGAGCAAAGTACCGATATGTTGGGGTGTAGTCGAGCAGCTCGTTGCAATCCCGGTGGCGATAACGGAGCACGGTCCTGATGGCTTCTTCGTTAGGATAGTGGTAGTTGGCCTGTAAGGCGTGGATTGCTGCAAAGGAAGAAAGAAAAATGTTTTGAGTACAAATTATTGTGGAAATGAAATTAATCTAGCCAGTTAGCACGGCTTACATGTCTCGCCAAATTCTTGCTAATGAACCAGCCCGGTACGTCGGCCGTTTCATAATTGCCGGACACCTAGAAGAAGTCGTCGTCATGTAAGTCTTTGTCTAGGGTACCGGTCACTATTTTTTCTTTGCCCGGTCTAATCTTTAAGTAATAGGCGAGGCCGTCGCCAGTGTGCCCAAGGGTGTACTGTCGCAGTATCTCGGCTAAACCTAAGTTAGTCCTTAGCCGGTTATTCAGCTCATGGATGCCGTTGATTATTCGGTAGGTGTTGGTCGATACTTGTGTGGGTGTTAGCCCGGTGTGGCGCAGGAATTCGGTCAGCAGAGGGTTGACCGGGAAGCGGAGGCCTCCTTCAATTATGGAAAGCACGATGAAGGGGCACTGGTCTAATCTACCCCAAGAGGTTGTCTCAATCTCGCCGAGCTCTAGGTATATGTCGGTCGGGATGCCATACTCTTCCCGGAATACGGCCAGGGCAGCCGGAATATCGACAAGGAAGCGAAAGCGTCCCATGTGTAGCCGGCTGGTTTAGCTCAGTTGAGGTGGTTTGGCAAAGACTGGTGTCTTGATGGTTGCTCGGTCTTTGAGAGCCTCAATATTTGGTCAGTGGTCCCCTTGGACTCTGCAGGAAAAGGATAGCAATGGTAAGTGTGAGCGCGGTCGCGCAAAACGAGCTTGACTTTAGCACGGTTATGAAGAGTGCCAACCACCTCGGTCTGAAGGTGAAAAAAGGAGCTCGGCCACTTAAGCGGACTAGATGTTAGCCCGGTTGAGCGGCCAGGCTCCCTGCCTACCCCGGTTTCTGCTAAAGGTTTTGGTAAACCAGTAAATTGCTCGGTCTTATTGTATTTTGGGATCAAAAGGTGACCTGGAACCCGATCTGCCCCAGTTCTTCGTGTATTCATATGTTCATCACTGGGATTGAAGAACAATGAAGAGAATAGAGGCGAATATGGGTTTAAGGAGGGTTATGTCCTAAAACCTACGGATTTGGTGCCCTAAAAGGAGAAATATCAAATGAAATGACAATAAGAAGAGTTTAAGGACTTACCAGTTAAGGGCAGTGGCTCCTTCTTCGAACACAAACTCTGAAATGGCAAGGGAGGAATGGCACGAGCTCTGGGACGTCAAAGAGAAGGGAATGGCAGGAAGAGTGGAATGAAGGAGGCTGGGCATGCTTATGAGGTTGAATAGCCGCCAAAATTTGAATGAGAATGGACGGTTAGCTGCTCGAGGCCAATCAGCACGCTACACGTGTCCCCCATTAATGCAACGTCAGAGTGAAGAGACAGGAAGGTCAGATGAGGCGTCGACCGAGCAAGTCAAGAGACAGGAAGGTCAGACGAGGCGTCGACTGAGCAAGGCAAGAAACTGAGCACAGAAATTAGCCCGATTTGCCTCTTGCAAATTGTGAACCGAGGAAGAGTTCATCCCGGTCGGAACAGGTAATCCCGGTCACGCTAGCGCGGACGGAATTAAGGGGCAATTGAGAGGGAGAAGTATGACCTGGATTGGGCCATGGTAATACCGAACAAATTGTGGGCCAAACACATTTGGGCCTTGGTATCCTGGGTTTACCCAGAAGTGATTTTTGCTCGATAATGGCAAAGGGCGTGTAGAACCGAGCTACTTGACCTTGTCAGCATGGAGGCCGGTCAAGTAAGGGTTCCACGGTTTATGCGTTGCTCGGTTGGAAGGCGCGCTTCCATAGCTAGGCATGAAGGTTCGTGCCTTAAGCTCGGCACGTAGGCCTTTGGTTGACCGGTATGACCAATCTCAAGCTTGGCTTCGCCGGAATGCAGTCGAGCATGGCTGAGAGCTCGGTTATTAGCGCACTTCGGCATGAAGCGCAGTATGGCCGTTGACAGCCGAGATGCTACAGCCCGACTGCCGAGCTCCCAGTAGAGTAGGCTGGCAGTTGGGTTAGGTGATGTTCAGCAAGATTTGTGCTGACAGATGGGATAGCAGCACCACGTGTCGAGAGATCACTGGGAGTAGATTTGGGGCGCAAAAGGTATATAAGCATGTCTGCGCCCCCCATATGAAAGGATGACATTTTGGTGAGATAAACACTACACACAACTCAGTTCTCTCTCTCTCTCTCTCTATCCCTGTGTGTGTCTAACTTGATCGTCGAAGGGGTTTTCCAGCCACACACCGCCGGGTAACTCACCGCCATTGTGTTCGCAGGTCGATCGGATAGGCAGGAACTTGGAAGAAAGAAGTGCGGGCTTGCCTAAATATTTGCTCCCCGCACAACCTCCATAAAATTTTACTTACTTTGTCTGTGGCAAAAGTGGGCATATTGCTCGAACTTGCAAATTCCAAAAACATGCACTTGCCCCAAAGGCTAGCGTTATCGAGGAGCCATTTGTGGCGATGATTACAGACATTTGCATGGTTAATTATGTGGACGATTGGTGGGTAGATTCTGGTGCTAATAGACATGTTTGTTATGATCAAGCTTGGTTCAAGGTGTATACTCCCTTTGATGATGAGAAAACAATTATGCTTGGTGACTCTAGTCAAACCAAGATACTTGGGTTGGCCTTAAGTTTATCTCTGGACATGTGCTTACTTTAAAAGATGTGCTTAATATACAGTCCATGAGGAAGAATTTGATGTCAAGTTATTTGTTGAATAAGGCTGGTTTTAAGCAAACTATGGAATTCGATCAATATGTGATTACCAAGAAGGGTATTTTTGTGGGTAAGGGTTATTCTTGTGATGGGATGTTCAAATTGAATGTTGACATCTACCAATTTGGTTTACATGTTGTCTTCTATTAATTTTTTGCATGCTCACTTGTGTCATATTAACAGTAAATATGTGGGAATCATGAGTTGTTTAGGATTAATTCCTAAAATGAAAAAAAAAAATTTGAGAAATGTGAAGTTTGTAGTGAAGTAAAAATTACCAAGGGGCCTTATAAAAGTGTTGAAAAAAATACCGAATTGCTAGAATTATTTCATACTGATTTGTGTGAGTTTGAAGAAATTCTAACTCAGGGTGGTAACAGATATTTTATAATTTTTTTTTTGATGATTTTCAAAATACACAAACGTATATTTATTAAAAAATAAAAGTGATACTTTTGAGAAATTTAAAGAATTCTTTCTTGAAGCAAAAAATCAATTTGGTCAAAAGATTAGGAGAATTAGAAGTGATAGAGGGCGAGAGTATGAATCTCTTGGATTCAACTCTTTTGTTCAGTCTTTGGGAATTATTCATGAGACTACTCTACCATATTCACCTTCATCTAATGGCGTAGCTAAAAGAAAAAATAGAACATTAATTGACTTGACGAATGCTATGCTTATTGATTCAGGTGCTCCCTCAAATCTTTGGGGCGAGGCTATTTTGACAGCTTGCCATGTGATAAATAGAGTGCCACACAAAAAGACTAAAATTGTACCTTATGAGTTGTGGCGGGGGCATAAACCAAGTCTAGGTTATTTGAGGATTTTGGGTTGTTTAGCTTTTGTGAGGCTTGCAGATCCTAAACGACCTAAATTGGATGAACGAGCTACCACCTGTGCTTTTCTTGGGTATGCGCTGCATAGTACAGCTTATAGATTTTTTAATATGAAAAATAATATTATTTTTGAATCAGTTGATGCTATTTTTCATGAAAATAAATTTCCTTTCAAATCTAGAAATAATGGGGGTCAAATAATTTTTGAAAATATTTTATCCATACCTAGCTCTTCTACTCCTTCTCAAGTTTTTCACGAAAAAGAAAATTTTCAAATCCAACCAAGAAGAAGTAAACGAGCTAGAGTTGAAAAAGATTTTGGCCCTGACTATTTTCTTTACAATGTGGAAGAAATTCCTCTTACAGTGCAAGAAGCTTTATCATCACCTGATGCTATTTTCTAGAGAGAGGCTGTAAATGATGAGTTAGATTTACTACTTTCAAATAAAACATGGGAGCTAGTGGATTTACCTCCAGGTTGTAAAACTATTGGGTGTAAATGGGTCTTTCGTAAAAAACTTAAACCGGATGGAACTATAAATAAATATAAAGCGAGGCTTGTCACTAAAGGTTTTAAGCAACAAGTTAATCTTGATTTCTTTGATATTTTTTCTCCGGTTACTAAAGTTACATCCATTAGACTGTTAATAGCAATGGTTGCAATTCATGATTTAAGAATTCATCAAATGGATGTAAAAACAGCATTTTTAAATGAAGATCTAGATGAGGAGATTTACATAGACCAACCCGAAGGCTTTGTAGAGCCTGGCTAAGAAAGCAAGGTGTGTAAGTTAACTAAATCCCTTTATGGTTTAAAACAAGCTCCTAAATAGTGCATGGGAAATTTGATTCATGCATGCTTGAGAATGGTGATAAGACTAATGAATGTGATAAGTGCATATATTATAAAACTTGTGAGAATGCACATGTGATTATTAGCCTATATGTGAATGATCTACTTATCTTTGGCTCTAATTTGCATATTATAAATGAGACTAAAAATATGTTTAATAGCCACTTCGATATGAAAAATCTTGGTCAAGCCAATTTTATTTTGGAAATTAAAATTACAAAGACTAATGATAGTATTTTTCTTGATCCGTCGCATTATGTTGGGAAAATTTTAAAGAAATATAATTTTCTAGACGGTAAATATGTTGCTACTCCTTTTGATGCAAGCATACATTTATCTGTTGTAACAAATGAAAAGGAAATAATTAATCAAAAGAAATATGCTAGCATGATTGGTAATTTGAGATATGCTACTGACTGTACTAGACCTGACATTGCATATGTTATTGGAGTACTTAGCAGGTTTATTAGTAAGCCAAGTTGAGATCATTGGCTAGCCATGGGAAGAATTATGAGATATTTATCTGGTACCAAAAATTATAGTTTGTTTTATAACAAGTATCCTGCGGTACTTGAGGGATATAGTGATGCCGATTGAAACACTTTGTCAGGTGATTCTCTCTCTACCTTGGGTTTTATTTTTACCTTGGGTGGTGGTGCTATATGTTAGAAGTCTAAAAAACAGACAATAATTGCTAATTCTACAATGGAAGTTGAGCTTATAGCGTTAGCTTCAGCATGTGAGGAAGTGAATTGGTTAAGAGATTTATTACATGAAATCCCCTTTTGGGAAAAACCAATTCCTTCTGTGTTAATTCATTGTGATAGCACTGCTGCTATTGGTAGAGTGAACAACATTTTTATAATGGTAAATCCAGACCTATTCGAAGGAAACACAGTAATGTGAGATTCTATTTGAGTAATGGCATCATAATTGTGAATTATGTAAGATCTTGTGATAATCTTGCGGATCCATTAACCAAGGCCTTGGCGAGAGATAGGGTCTACAATAGATCGAGGGAGATGGGTTTAAAGCCTATAAAATCATAAACTATGTATGAGGATACCCAACCTAGGGACCAGAGATCCTGTGACTAGGTTCAATGGGATGAGCGAATCATATGGTGGTTGTAAAAAATGCACTCTTTAATATTTTGTTATCCATCCCTATGATGTAAGTGTATTTGTCCTGTAATGTTGGAGAGTTGAGTTTTTATACTCTTAATGAAATTCTGTAGCTCTTGTTGAGTGGGATGTGTAAATTACAGAAACATCCTTGATAGATTTTACCTATGTGAGCATGAAAGTGGGGTCGCTTTTTATGAGATCAAGGCTTATTCTCAAATATGCTCATGAAAACTGGGATTAGCACAAGGCCATAATGTGCTAGCTATTAAAGCTCATGTTAACACCTAGATTATTATGTGTGAGCAGTAATTCTTTATTTCCCCTAAGCAGTCATAGTTCAAGTCTGAGACCACTACTGACTCTGGAGTAGAGGTTGTTGTTTCACTTATGAAGGTTCAATGCAGAGCACACCTTCATGATGCATACTAGTCTACCTTTGGTTGGTAATCTCTCTTATCCTTGTTGATATTAAAATGAATGGGGGATTGTTGGACCATTTTAATATCTTTTATTTATTTATTTGTATATTTTTGTTCATGAATCTTCTTTTGTTTTATTCATGAATCTTATCTTGTTCATGAATGGAGGTTAATTAGAATTCATAAACTTGGTGGTGAATTATTATTTGGAGTTTCTCCATTTTCTCTTTATTATTTGGAGTCTCTCCATTTTCTCTTGTTTAATGGTCATTATTTTTTGGTGTAATTTGTAAGGTCCTAGTGGCCTATAAATAGTTCCTCTCATCTACTCTTTTCTACACCAACACATCAACCATCCACACGCCACCACCCACCACCATCCACCTGCCACCTACCACCACCCACCACCTACTTGCCACCACCACTCACCACCCATTTTGAAGTTGAAAAAAGTGAGTCATACTAAACATTTTAACTAATAAGAATTTTATGTTTAGTGGGTTAGATATGCTATTAGAACAGTGAATGTATGTGCATAAAATGGTACACACAAAAATATTTAGAAAAGAAAAAGCCACCACCTGCCACTTACCCGCTACCACCCACCACCACCCGCCATCCGCCACCCACCTACTACCACCACCCACCACCCGCTACCGCCACCACCACCACCAGCCACTCGCTACCACCCGCCATCGTCACCCACCAACCCACCACCACCACCACCACCCACCCGCCACCACCAGCTACCCACCACCCACCATCACCATTTTCCACCATCGTCTTCTGTCGCCACTTGCCACCACTTGTCATTTTTCACTCTTTTTTATATTTTAAATTTTTTAAAAATATTTTGTCAATTACTAAACACGTTTGTAGTTTATGTTTTTCTAAAAATAAACAAAAACCAGTTTATAAATTTTTTATAAATATAAACTGAAAACATAAACGTTACCAAACACACTCGTAATGTTTGCTATTTTTTAAACTGTAATTAAATTTTGTATTTTAAGTTCTTTGATAAACTTAGCATGGTGTTTTCTTGTAAAAATTATAGAAACATTGGTTTGTAAGTAGCTCAATTTTTTCTGATTTGTTCAAAACACAAATAAATTTGGGAAAAACTATAAAAATTTAAAAATACGTAGAAAATTTGAAAACACAGGCTTTGTTTGGTTTGTGTTTCCTAAAAATTTTTGGAAAAAATTCTCTACAAATAAGTTTTCAAAAGTAATCAAACCAAACAAATTTTCTCAAAAAAATTTCTCAAAACTTGTTTGGTTTACAAGTTTTCCAAACAAATCTTTCTCTCATACACATCAAATCAATCACTTTTTTCAAAACTCTCTCTCAAAATAATTTTCCAAAACATCTTTTGAAAAAAACCAAACCAAATAACTTTTCGTACTTTTTATTTTTAAAACTCATAACCCAAACTCAAACCAAACATAATTGAGCAAATGAGAGAAATTTTAAAACACAAAATTTTTTATTTTTTATAAAAATTTCAAAGATTCCAACTGTTATAAAAATATTTCATATTTTTTATATTATAAAATCTTAATAGGAGAGACCTTAAAAAAAAATATCCTAAAATTTATACATTAAAACATAGAGAATGAAAAAAAAAGAAAAGCAAAGGACAAAAAGTGGTGGAACCAGGCACCTTGAAGAGTGTGTGACTAATAAAGGCTTCGTCTGAGAAGCTAAAGGAAGCAAAATCTGGGATTTTTTTTTTTTTTTTTGGTTAAAATAGTTAAAAAAAAATAAAATAAATTTTTAGTTACAAAATATAAAAATCACATCTAATTTATAATTATTATATTTTTTTTTTTTATAAAAATGTCAAAAAAGCCAAAAACTCTTCTCAAACGAGATTTTTTAGTCTCAGACTAAAATAATAAAAAAAATTAAAAAACCAACCCACTTTCTAAATCAACCCAAACTAAAGTTTGATGATTAGAAAACGGAATCAAGATCCTCTCTTTCATTTATCCCTTTAATTCTTTTTTTGTTAAGTTATTGGACTAACTTTTGGATTTAATTTCGATGATCCAAATTATTTACATTTTAAAATTTGTTGAGTATATCATATTTATAAAAAATCAAATTGAGTATATCATGCTAATAAACTAAATTTAAAATTATTTATTAAATTTTTTAAAAAAATAATTTATAGTTCGATAATCCAAATATATAATTTTTGATATCAAATTAATTTAATTTTTTTATAAATATGATACACTTAATAAATCTTAAATTATGTATAATTTAAATCATCCAATTTGGACTTAAGAGTAGATCCAATGACCTAAGAAAGAGAGAGTTCAGGAGAGAGACGAAGATGTTGATTCGAGAAAACGCCCCCTCAGGTGTTTGTCAGAAGCCTGTGTCCGACGTGGAAATGTGACACCACGATTTTCCGCTATTCAACTTCTTTTTATGATTTTTTTATTTTAATAATAATTATTATTATTTTTTCAATCCAACAACAAATCTAATTTTAAAACAAATAGTAAATATTTTTAAAATAGGGAGATTTACCAATAAATCCCAAAATTTAAACTTATGAACCAATTAGTCCAATTTTTATTCTATTAAACCGTTTAGTCCCATCTTTCTCCTATCACACACAGATACACACATACATTGTGAGGGGCAGACAGACACTCACACACAGATACACACACACACATATACACACACCCAGACAGACACACACACACAGATACACACACACAGACATATACACACACCCAGACAGACACACACACAGATACATACAGACAGACACACACACACAGATACACACACACAGACATATACACACACCCAGACAGACACACACACAGATACATACAGACAGACACACACACACAGATACACACACACAGACATATACACACACCCAGACAGACAAAACTCTATCTCAAAATAATTTTCCAAAACATCTTTTAAAAAAAACCAAACCAAACATATTTTCGTACTTTTTATCTCTAAAACACATCTCTCAAACACAAACCAAACATACCCGTTGATTCGAGAAAACGCCCCCTCAGGTGTTTGTCAGAAGCCTGTGTCCGACGTGGAAATGTGACACCACGATTTTCCGCTATTCAACTTCTTTTTATGATTTTTTTATTTTAATAATAATAATTATTATTTTTTCAATCCAACAACAAATCTAATTTTAAAACAAATAGTAAATATTTTTAAAATAATGAAAATTATAATTTAACTCTCTCTCTCAATTGGAAAATAGGACCAAATATGGAAAATAGGATCAACAAGTAACAAACTTCCCCACTGATAGGACTTATCCGAACAAAAGAATAAAGTTGGGACTAATTGGTTTAAGAGTTTATGAAATAGGATTTATTGGTAAATTTCCCTTTAAAATAATGAAAATTATAATTTAAAAGATTATATTGTTTTGAGTAAATTATAAATGTATGTTTTGATATTTATTTAAAATATAAATTATATCGTGTGATTATAAAAATTATAGATATTAATTTTTTATTTAACAGAATTAATAAGAAAATAAAATTTATAACTACTTTCTTATACAACAATAAAATTACATAAATTTTTAATTGAAATATATTTATAATTTTGTTAAAAGTAGTTAATTATTTGATAATTTATTAATGAAATAGGTAAATTGTTATGCGATTAGAAACTTGAATAAGCGAAATATAATTTCTAAAATCACAAAAAAAAAATTATATTTTAAACAAATCTTAGAAGGTGTATTCGTAATTTACTTTATTATTTTTATCTATTTGTTTATTTGTCCACCTATTTGTTTATTTGTTCATGTGTCCACATATATGTTTATCTATCAGTTTACTCAAGTAAGGCATATAGGGCCCGTTTGTTTTTGGGGTTAAGTAGATGGGAGGGGATTAGGATGGTGGAGGTGTTATTTAATGTTGTGTTTGTTTGTAGAGTTGGAGAGGGGATTAGGATAGTGGAGGTGATATAGATGGAGGTTGGAGAGGAGATTGAGATGGAGGTTGGGGAGATGGTATTAGAAAAATAGCATGGAACGGTGAGAAAGTATACCGTCGACAAATAACATGGAACTTTTTGCGACGACGTGTATACCGTCGCAAAAAGTGGTCTTTTGCGAAGGCATATGAAGCCGTCTCAAATACTATTTTCTGCGACGGCAGTTTCCCCGTCGTTAATAAGCACAGAACAAAAAGTCACTTAGATACGGAAGTATTAGCGACGGTAGCAAAAAATATTTTTTTGAGACGGGTGAAATTTACCGTCGCAAATAGTGGACATTTGTGACGGGAATGCTCTGTCGCAAAAAAAAAAAAAAACTTAATAAAATGGCGTCGTTTTATAAATAGATTTGTTCATTTGTGACGGTTTTGCTATGCCGTCGCAAATAGTTTGAAATTTCATCTCCCTCCTTCAGCCGAAATGGCGCTCGATCAAATTCCCTAAAATCTCCAAAATCCCTAACACCATTCTCCCTCAAAACCCCCAAAATCTCTAACACCATTCTCCCTCAAAACCCCCAAAATCCCAAAATCCCTAAATCCTCAAAATCCCTAAATCCCCAGAGACGAGTTCGACGACGATCTCTCTCCGTCTCTCGACGAGTGACGATGGTGACGGCTAACGGTGTTCGAGTTCACCGACGATCACAGCGACGACGGTGAGTGTTCACCGACGATATCTCTCTCAACGAGAAACAACGGCTAGCGGTGGTGCGGCGACGGCGTGTTACGATCTCTCTCTCTGAGCTCAATCAGTACGTATGCTCTCTCTCTCTCTCTCTCTCTTTTTCGGAAGCCCACAGTAATTTATTTTGGTCACTTATCTTATATAGAGATCAGGTGCGTTTCTCTCATTACTATGATTCAAAACTGTAATATCTGATTACTCCATTTTTTGTTCTATATAAGTAATATCTGATTTTGATGTCTACTCTTTTTTTGGTCACGACGACGACCACAATCGATTGTAGACCTCTTCCAGTAAGTCTCCATTCTACAAATGCAAACCTTTCAATTCTTTTTTTACTTACTCTTTTTTTTTAATGCGACAATTTCATAATCAAATAATGGACTCTCGAGTGATCAGAAGAGAGAGTTTCTCGAACGATACGGTCTTAATCCCGACGACTTCCGATCAAAACCTTCTCCTAAGGTCTCTCTCTCTCTCTCTCTCTATAATATCAATATATACGTATATAATATGTATGATAATAATGTAAATAAAGTTTGGATTTTGAATGTATAGACAAGGAGAAAGGAACGGCGAAAGACAGAGAGGGGAAAGCAGGTCCCACTGGAGGAACCTAAGTTGCCAAGGAAGACTCATAAATTGCTTCAAGTGTGGAATGGCTTGAATTTATCTTTGTATTCAATGAGTTTGGGTAAATACATATACATTGTGATGTTCTAATTTGATATAAGAATTTTGGGATTATTTTACTATTTCACCACAATTTGGTTCATTAATTAATATGGAACTTTTCATGGATGGGGCTGGTAGCTTGTTGATTAAATGAATATTAACTGCCCTTATTCTCAATGGTTTTGGAAAATTATGTGCAATTGGAAACCAATTTTCTATTCAAGTAGTGCATTTGAATCACTCGCAAGTGTGCTCAAACTCAAACAGATACAAAGTGTGATCAAACTACTTGAGAGAGAAAGAGAGAGAGAGAGATAGAATGTGATCTAACTAGAAAAACTGTAGTTCAATGTCCATCTAAGTGTCTGTCTTGGTTTGTTTAGATGTGAATGCAAAGGTTAACTTACAGAATTGAAGCTTGCCATTTTCAAGGATACGCTATCGTGATAAAATTTTCATTATTATTTTTTCTTAATATGAATAGTTCAATATATGCATCGTCATAAAAGAAGTAATATCAACCTTATTGGTGATTTTAGGTGCTTGGAGGAACTGCTAAAAGGAAGAAATTGCTCTCACCAAAGGGCATGGACGTACGCCCAATGATGGAAGTTGTAAAAGGAGCAGCCTTTGACATTTTGCAGGTAAAAGATATCTTATTCTTCAAATGTTGTCCTCTAGTTCTAGAAACAAGATGATACTTCAATTTCTTTGTCTGCAATTAACCTTATGTAGATGCTATTTTGATATACTTATAATTTTGTTTTATTAAGGCGGCCAGTGGTTGTCCTGCATCTTTAAGGCCTGGTCGTTGGTTAGACTTGTATAGCGGCACAGGATCTGTTGGCATTGAGGCTCTCAGCTGGGGATGTTCTGAGGTACTATGATTAATTTAGTAAACTAGAAGTAATTTTTTAATTAAATTTTTGGATAGTTTGATGTTTGAGAAAAATTAATTAACAATTTTTGACTGTTTGATGAAGGAGAAAAATTAATTAACAATTTCAGGTTTCCACTTTCTGACATTCTTATTCGTGTTTTATTATTTTATTTATTTTTTCTCGTTTACTTTTTATTTGGATAGTTTTGGGGCAAAGGTCTTTACATCATATAGTATTCATGTCCCTGATTTTTGTATGATAAGAAGTTCTTGCATATTTTACTTGGTTTTGTGTTGTAAGGCACCAAGGCTATGTGGGAATCTCATTCTCACAACCCGCTATGTGCATCTTATGCTAAGGCTCATTCATCTTGCCTTTGCACAATTCAGGGTTGCCTTCCTAAGGCTAAATAAGATTACCACACTAAGTGCGTATCTCATTCTCAAACCCCATATGGGTATCTTATATTCTTGGAGCATTCTAGAGTGGGGAAAAAGAGAAGTTGAGCCCACAATGTTCAAAAATTTTCCATTTTTTCCCTGATTAATCCAAACACACAAATTCTATGAACTTAGGAATTTTGTTACTAGTACCGGGATTCCCATTCTTGCTTTTCAATTCCTGTTATTCAAGTTTCAAACATAGTCAAAATTACACCTGGGCTTTCATCTTGTGAAATATATCAGTTCAAACACTTGAATTGTATCAACATTGGAATCTTGTTGTTAGTAAAGTAGTGAAATTCCCACTCCAGCCATTCAAGCATATCCAAAGTTTCATGTTGGTTTTCATCCTTGTGAAATTTATCAGTTTGCTGGTTGTGACACGCTCTAGTTGTTTTGGATGCATTTCCTCATCATTCTCAAAGCATGCAAATAGAATCTGATTATCTCTCAATTGCAGGCTAGAAACTTTAGAGTTGAACCACCTGGGTTGTTCCAAGGCCGTAGAGAGCACCCAAAGGTACTACTGATATCTTTCTACCAACAATGAAGGATTTATAATAATCTAGGACGGAATGCTTGATTTTTTGTAGTTGTTTCTGGAAGAATTTGCAATTGTTCTCAAGTTTTCATTCAGAACTTGCTGTTGACTTTTGGTTTTGTGGTTCAGATAGGGAAGCTGAAAAGACGCATTCAACCTAGGGACATTACTATAAATATTGGAAAGGATGCCCCAATTCCCAAATGCCCTATCCCTAGTGAAAAGTGGTTGTTTCTGCCATAATTTTATTGGAAAATAGGAACAAAGTTGTGTCTCTGTTTTAAGATTTTTAATAAATTAACTTTACAAATATTTGATCTCTGCAGATGGAAAGAAATAAGGCATGACAACACAGTTACATGGCTTGCTTTTTGGAATGATCCAATCAACCCAAAGGAATTCAAATACGTGTTCTTGGTAGCTAACAGTTCTTTGAAAGGGCAAAGTGACAAGGAGAAATATGTGAAATCAAGGATGTTAAAGGTACTTTACATAAAATTTACCTACACATCTGATAAATGTCATTTCTATTTGTGTTAGACAATTTAGTAGTAACTTCCCATTCCTTAGCTATAACTATAATTCGTTGTTTGATTGTAGGACTACATATAAGGCATCAGAGCAGCTTATACTAAAGATTTTGCCAGTAAGGATGTCACAAAGCGACAAATAGCAGTTGCCACCTATCTTATTGATAAACTAGCTCTCAGGGCTGGCAATGAGAGGGTATGGTGTATGTAATTGTTTTCATCATGTTTATGTTTATCTTTTACTCTCTTGTTCATGGAACATCCTTTTTCTTTTTCCTCCCTATATAGAAGCATAGTTGAGAATCTGACAATAAGTAATTGGTTAAGACCCAGTTGGATGAGGTGGACAACCTTCTCTGTGGAAGAAACATAGTGATGCAGATCATCTTACAGATGCTAATAGTGTTTTATGTACTTTATATAGATGCATGCTTTAATGTATAAACACATGTATTATGTACATATGATGCGTCGTCTGCGATCTTGCTCAGAAAGTAAATAGAAACATAACAAAAAAAACGAAACAAGTTTTGAAGCCTTTATTCTTATAATTGTTTCGATCTTACAGGATGATGATGAAGCTGATACCGTTGGTTGCTGCACATTGAAAGTAGAAAATGTAGAACCAATGCCTCCAAATATTCTGAAGGTATAATGGCGTTTATGTCTCAGATAGCAAGGTTTTAAACCTTAACTTACAATTGGATTTAGTTATAATAATATTTGTGAGTTTGGTGGGTTATTATATTGAGATTTTGAAGTTTTAAATGAATAAAAAGGAGACTGCATGATGCGAAAATGGAATCAGTTTCTGGAATATTTTGAACCTATTAGAAACATGTAACAATACTAAGGTTTTTCGTCAACTGCAATTAATAACAAATCAATATCTTTTCTGGTTTTCTAGTTTGACTTCCTTGGTAAAGATTCAATTAGATACCAAAATAAGGTTGAAGTTGAACTTCTTGTGTTCAAGGCAATTCAGCAGTTCGAACTGGTTAGTGGATGCGTGGCCTTTGGTATCAAAATATCTCTTTCTACATTTCATTATAAAGACATGCTCACATGACCTTATTTTTCTACAGGAAAAAGTGGCGGCGATGATCTTTTTGACAAGCTGGATACCAATAAACTGAATGCTCATCTAAAGGAACTCATGCCTGGTCTCATAGCAAAGGTTTTCCGTACATATAATGCATCTATAACTTTGGATGAGATGGTAAGAGGCAAGCTGGGATTTTTCATACCTTGAAGTTAGTATTTTTCATGTGAATATGAATTTACTATGTTAATCAAGCTTTTGGTACACATGGGAGTATTTGTGTTGGTGTTTGGATTGTCTGACCATCAACTTTTGGTACACATGGGAATATAGGACCCGGGCAAATAGTTGTACTGGTGCTTATTTGAAAGGTGGTACTAGGGTGAAGTAATAAAAAATCAATAAATGTGGGCTATCTAACAAAACATATTGGAAATAAGATTTTGAAATATAACAAATAGTTGTTGTCATTTGACATTATTGAAAGTAGAAATGGTTTTTAACAAATAATTGCTGTCATTTGACAGTAGTGAACTTGATATGCATTGGCAAGATAACTCAACTCAACTTACCAAACTTTAATCCCAATTATTTGACCTGCAGTAGGACATGGTGGTAACATGACGTCATGGTTAAACCAATTTACATTTTTGTCGATTATATTTCATGATGATGAAGGCTATATATGGTTTGTAGATATAATAGTCTGAAACATGGAGTAGTCTATGCAATGAATAACATAACTTAAGCAGTTGTAGTGAGCACGTGATTTATTATTTTTTTGTTTATTTATAAAAAAACATGTTTATCGTTGCGATTTAAAAAAGTTTTATATTGAGGGGATTCATTTATTTAAAAAACATGTTTTATCTTTGCGATTTAAAAAAGTTTTGGCATTTGTTTTTCTGTTGGCATTAGCAAGAAAGGGTATTAATTCAAACATTTTTTTGTTTGAATTAATACCAAACAAACACACCACCACCAAAAAATCAGGTATAAAATGTATCTTTACATTCTAAGCTAAAATGTGTATTTGCATTCTTTGCATTTTAAGCTAAGAGACTTGTGGGAGAAGACGGGACTCAAATCGGGTTCTCGGATTGGGAGTTAGAGCCGGATTTCACTTTAGGCAAACTAATTCCTTAAGAAACTTGAATTCGAGGTGTTAACGCCCCAACATCACCAAACGGGGTCGGTTTAGCATGAAACTTGGCACACACGACCGCCTAGGCACGAGAGACTTGTGAGAAAAGACGGGACTCCAATCGGGTTCCTGGTTTGAGAGTTAGAGCCGGATTTCGGTCTAGGCAAACTAGTTCCTTAAGAAACTTGAATTTGAGATGTTGACGTCCCAAAATCACCAAACGACGTCGGTTTAATACAAAACTTGGCACATACGACCGCCTAGGCACGAGAGACTTGTGAGAGAAGACGGGGCTCGAATCGAGTTCCTAGTTTGGGTGTTAGAGTTGGATTTCGGTCTAGGCAAACTAGTTTCTTAAGAAACTTGAATTCAAGGTGTTGACGTCCCAAAATCACCAAATGGTGTCGGTTTAGCACGAAACTTGCCACACACGACCGCCTAGGCACGAGAGACTTGTGGGAGAAGACGGGACTCCAATCGGGTTCTCGGTTTGGAAGTTAGAGCTGGATTTCGGTCTAGGCAAACTAGTTCCTTAAGAAACTTGAATTCGAGATGTTGACCCCCCAAAATCACCAAACAACGTCGGTTTAGCATGAAACTTGGCACACATGACTGCCTAGGCACGAGAGACTTGTAGGAGAAGACGGGACTTCAATCGGGTTTCCGGTTTGGGAGTTAGGGCCGGATTTCTATTTAGCCAAAATTATTTACTAAGCTATCTTTGTAATTATATAGTAGTTAATTTTTTATGTTTTTCTGTAATCAAAATACTAACACAATTATATTGTCAATAATTATTTTTATTTTGTTATTGTTAGATATTTCCTGAGTAGCAGCTTGTTTCTTGTGGAATGCAGGCGTGTAAAGATTATGACCAACTTTTATTTTTGTAACCCACGGAAGAATCATGACGAAAACTTTTGTTTTTGATTTACGTTATGTAGATTTGTGAACAACATTATGTATGTATTATGCAACATTATGTAGTAGGATAATTTTGCTGATGTATTGTTGTGAATGGAAGAATATTTTAATTATAGATGAGTTTTTATTTATATACTGGACTTTTTATATTATTATGTAATTATCGATTTTTTTTATAGTTATTTTTCATTTAATACAGGTTATTTTCATATTTTTAATAATTTTATTACAGTTTTTTTTTTAAACGGCACCACACACACCATCTCAAAAAGAAAATAGAACCAGGGTTTTTTGCGACGGCAGTAATGCTGTCACAAAAGATAGGGGAATTGGTTGAAAAGGAAGACCTTTAGTGACGGTGTTATTTGCTGTCGCCAATAGTACTTTAGCGACGGCATCAGGTGCTGTCTCGAATAACCCTTTAGCGACTGTATTTTTGCCGTCGCAAATAACCCTTTTAGCGACAACAAAACAGTGCCGTCTCAAAAAAACTCAGATTTTCACGCGTTAATGTCGACAAAATTTTTCCGTTGCAAAAATGCATTTTTGCCGTCGCAAAAAAAAGGCGACGGCGTTATGCCGTTGCTAAAACCCTTTTGCAACCCCCTTTGTTGCGAGCCCCCACTTGCTATCGCAAAAAGCCAGTTACCGTCGCGAAAAACCTTTTGAGACGGCGTTTTGGGTATTTGCAACGACATTTTGCCGTCGCAAAAAAGTAATTTTTTTGTAGTGAAAGTGAATCTAATGTGTTTCGAAAAAAAATGTGATGCCAGAGAAAATTTATCTCAAGGGAAAAATTACACACAATGAGACAACTAACTAGTAAAAATCAAACAAGCAACATAATTTGATGGGTCAGGAAAAATTCAGATGTCAAATAAAATCAATCAAGGCACTAATAGCAAAGAAATTGTAGAGAAATCCATTTCAACCAAACTACTAGTTTCAACAAGATCAAGCAAGCACATAGAGTAAAATAAATTCAATGTGTTCAGAGAAAATTGTGATTTTAGAGAAAATCCATCTCAAGAGAAAAATTACACACAATGAGATAACCAACCAATGAAAATCAAACAAGCAACATAATTTGATGGGTCAGAAGAGAAAATTGTGATTTTAGAGAAAATCCATCTCAAGAGAAAAATTACACACAATGAGATAACCAACCAATGAAAATCAAACAAGCAACATAATTTGATGGGTCAGAAAAAATTCTAATGCTAAAGAAAATCAATCAAGGCATGTAAGTTAATGTGATTATAATTGTGGTCAGAGAAAATTCAGATTCTAGAGAAAATTCATCACATGAAGGAAACTAACTAGTGAAAACAAACAAATAATATAAATTGAAACGTCAGAGAAAATTCATCTCAACCAAACTAATGGCAAAAAAATAGCAGAGAAATTCATCTCAACCAAACTACCAGCTTCAACAAGATCAAGTGGGATTGGAGGAGTTCTAAGAGTTGTTCTTTTGGGCATGGGCATTGTGAGTAGGTGAGGAAAATATTCTTGGCATAAAAACGGAAAGAGGCTTGGTGAGGTATTTTGTAGTGGTAAACAGTGAACTCACACCAGCCGTACAAGGTCTCCCTATTAGTTAGAAAACCTGGTGTGAGTGGTGTGATTGGGGGGCGTTGTATTAATATTACTAGCGCCCCCCCTCCCGCTGATCTAGGCCATCCATTGCTGTACTTATGGACACATGTATGGATGTGGTTAAAAGGAAGTCACACCTAGGCCCAGATGCGAGTAGTGTGAGTACTTTTGATTCCTTTGCCAGATATTGCTATACACGTGTTGATTTTCTAGTGGTTTGCGTGGCTGTAAAGCAAATATTTATGCAGAATGATAGACATAAAGTAAATGTGGGAAAATAAATGTGTTTGAATTATTTTGAATGGGGAATCTTCGTCCTTACATGCGGGCCATTTTTGCTATATATTTGGTACCATAAAATATTTTATAGCAGAGAGGAATATACTTTTGTAGTAGGATAGCTATTGTGGTGAAGTTGCTTTTTGGTACCTTATTTCGTCCCTCCTTTTTTTTTTCTTTTTTTTTGATTTATTTGGTATACAATGTTGTACTCCTTAGAAGAGTATCCCGAGAATTATGAGCAGTTCACTCAAATGTGTGTAGATCCCTTTTTGACGTGGCAAATAGGACTGTGGAAAGAGAGCCGGGGGGTCAGCTCCAGTGAAATTTGTTCTAGTGTACGAGGAGCAGAGGGCAAATATATCGAAGCTAAGGTGTCTGAACAGAAAGGTTAGCAGAGGTAAGAGAATCTGCAGAATTTGTAGAATAAAAGATTTGAAGTGTTTTATAAAAAATGAAAGGAATAGGAAGCAGCTAATATCGGACCCTCTTTGCGTACCGGAGGTCAAGGACATCGGCGGTTAGTAGATACAAGTGGAGTTACCGTGGTCATGCACCTTTTAAGGCGGCGGATGTTCGCCGACGGTACATTCAGAATATTCCCCGATATATTAAGAAGACTATGAGGGGAGTAAGAAAGTTGCAGCTGTACGATGAACAATTAAGGGACGTTAAATTTGATAATAAAGGTGTGGCGAGATTACTTAATGGTATTGAGCTGGGTAATAAAAGATGTGACCGCCAATCAGACAAGATCGTAGTTAAGGGTATAAAATTAATTGAGAATGTTCAATTGGGACAAGATGCTAAAGACGAAGTTGTGGTCCACCACATTTTGTTTTTCGTCATAAGTGATAATAGCCCGTCAGATTCTGTCCCCATACCTGACAAAATATTTATTGGAGTTGGCGAGATTTAAGCTCGTTGGTGGCAAGGACAAAGAGTACGTTCGTCACAGGATAGAAGTTATGGACCGGTTCTTTCCAGTTGATGTTTGGACGGACTACAAAGATACGCTGTTAGAAAATGTTGGAAGTATTCAGAGGGGTGCTGTAGACACCCCATTTTTGACCATCCTCAAGACTTGGACGTCACCGTTTGAACACTCGGTGATCATCTTTGTTTGTGTTCGTCTTGAGTTCCCGGAGGTCTCGGCTACGCGCCTTGCCTCAGGATCTCTCGACTCGACTATTTTGTAGTCAGCCGGTTGTGTGTTGTCATATACTTAGCCTATTGCATGTGTTGCATGCCTCAATCGCTTTGCATTTGGCACACATTCTCTTGGCTAAGTTGCCTAACACATTGTCCATGTTACACCTTGCATGCTCCAAATGTTTGGCTGACCGGCCATCTTTTTTGGTCAAATAGCATTTTTGGCTGGCCGACCACTGTACATCTGCTTTTGCAGATATTTTTATGCCAGCTGTGCTAGTTAGCATACACTTTGCTCCCCTCCATACACGTGTATGGAGGGATTTCACTCTTGCTTAGCTTGTTTTGGAAGCTTTGCAAGTGTGAATCTCTATAAGAGGGAGCCTCTTCTCCCTCCATTAGGGTTACAACTTTTTTCCAAAGGGCTCTGATATTAGGGTTAGGGTTTGCATATCCTCCATCTCTATATATCTCTCTCTCTTTTGTGTATAAGTGTGTGTTTGGTTTTATTATTGCACACAAACACCCACCATTACACCTTACCTTGGCTACTGAGGTGCCAGAGAGCTGTTCTTGGTGTTCTTGAGTGGATTCAAGCTTGAAGAACCAACTAGGACATTGTTTGTGAAGAGGGTCATCAAGGGTAAGAACTTCACCCT